AATTTCCTTAATTTTGGGAGATCGGCTGCTACTTGCACGAGGAAACTGATTTTAACGATTTTTTTTAAAAATAGTTTTAATTGTCTAAACTTGATTGACACAGAGACAAACAACAATTCACTCTCTCACTCACACCTAGGGACAATTTAGAGTCACCAATCAGCCTAACATGCATGAAGAAAACCCCTGAATGTACAGAGAGAACATGCAAACTCCACCCAGAAAGGTCCCCGGCCGGGATTAGATCCGGCAACCTTCTAGCTGAGAAGCTCTACCAACTGCACCAGATGAGTTTTATTAAGAAACGACGACGTTGAAGTCGTTCCGGTCAAAGCTCGTAGGTGACGTTTGGCTGGATCTCAAGTCATCTGTTAGCACTTGAAGTGGCGCGCTGAGGACGACTCTCAGCAACTACCGCACCATGTTTGAGCTCAACGTCTGCTAAAGTTGTCCGACTTATAGCTGTGGCGGCCATCTTAAACTGGTTTGCCTCTAAAAAGGTGCAGATGTTCATCCAACGATCGCTTTGAACGCGTTTCGTTAAAACCCATCCAATGGTTCATGAGATATTGTGCTAACAGACATATTGAGGATGACGCTCAGCTACTACCACAGCTTTAGATTCGTCTTCATCAGCTGTGGCAGCCATCTTGAACAGAGCTGGCAGCCATCTTGAACAGAGCTGACGCCTAAAGTTAACGAGTTGTAGGTTTTCAGCCTGCTTTAAGTAACAAAATGATGTTTTTATTTTGAATAAAAGTGTGGTTTAGTTAGACCAAAGGAACAAGATGTTTTGAAGTGAGCTGTCAGGCACATTTAGGAACCAAACATGCACAGGCATCAAAATCAAAACCTGAAATGTGGGTTTGTTCTGACTTCATTATGGTTTTTAAACTCCTTACCCACAGCAAAAGCCTTTAAAAGACTATTGTTGTGCAAGTTTTGGTATTTCGTGGTGATTTTATTGTGTTTTACCTGGAAGAAGTGGCCATGAAGTCTCCTTCCAGCAGCCGCAGCTTGCAGAACAGAACCCCGTTGACGAACGGCACGGCGGTCAGCTCCTCCAGGGTCAGCTGCGTCTGAAACTTGAATTTCTTCTTTTTCACGAAGAAGGCCATGATTTCTCTCTAAAACCCGACGCTGACGGAACCGTTCAACCCCGACGCCGCCGAAACAAACCGCTGCAGTTTTTTAACAAAAGGAGTTTCCACCAGAAACCCGCTTCTTCTCTTTCTCCAGTCGGGATTCAGCGCCGAAACCTGAGGGAGAAAATTCAGTTCTCGGTGAACTTCGGGAAGAAATGAGGGGAAATACTGAAAAAAAAGAGGAGTTTAAACGTGAAAGGAAACTCACCCTGAAACATCTCGACTTTTGCGGATCTCGTCTGCAAAGGTTCAATAACGAAAAGTGTCGGAAACGACGCTTAAATGCTTTTTTTTTTCCCTTCGCGGCGCAGAGAGGAGGAACTTTGTTAGCAGCGTCAAGCTAACCGAGCTAGCGTCGTTAGCACTTCCGGTTACTTCCTTTCAGAATAAAACAAATTAACCAACACCGTTTTTTTTTTGTCTTCTGTAGAAATAAAAGAAAATACATAGAAAATCTTCAAACAAATATTTGTTCTTATTCTCAAGTTGCTGCTAAATGTTGCCTGTTTGAGTTAATAAATCATAAACTTATCAATTAAACAATTAATCAAAGCAAAACTTTGCACATTTTTAAATAACATCAATCTCGTTGGCATGTGATATTGCCTTGCAACATCATGTGGACATTGGGGGCAGTGCCACTGGATTGGCAGACTGAGGTGGTGGTTCCCCTCTTTAGAAAGTGGGACTGGAGGGCGTGCTCCAATTACAGGGGCATCGCTCCCCTTAACCTCCCCGGTAAGATCTATTCAGGGTACGGAAGAAGCGAGTCCAATCGTTGGTCAAACTTGGATCCAGAAGGAACAATGCGGGTTCCATCCTGGCCGTGGAACACTGGACCAGCTCCTTACCCTCACTAGGGTCCTCGAGGGGTCATGGGAGTTTGTACATCCAGTCTAAACGTGTTTTGTGGACTTGGAAAGAAATTCAGCCATGTGATCTTCAGCTCTCAATGGAGCGGTTCGCAGCAGAGTGTGAAGCGGCTGGGATGAGAATCAGCACCTCCAAATCTGAGGCCATGGTCCTCAGATGGTAAAGGGTGGATTGCTCTCTTCAGGTCAACGGTGAGGATCTGCCTCAAGAGGAGGAGTTCAAGTATCTCAGGGTTTTGTTCATGAACGAGGGAAGAATGGAGCGTGAGATTGACAGACGTATTGGTGCAGCATCTGCAGTATTGTGGACTCTGTACCGGTCCATTGTGGTGAAGAGGGAGCTGAGCTGTAAGGCAAAGCTCTCTGTTTACCGGTCAGTCTACGTTCCAACTTATGGCCACAAACTCTGGGTAGAGACCGAAAAAATGAGTTATCAGATACAGGAGGTTGAAATGAGTTTCCTCTGCAGGGTAGCTGGACTCTCACTTAGAGATGAGGTGAGAAGTTCAGTTATCAGGAGAGACTCGGAGTAGAACTGCTGCTCCTCCACCTCGAGAGGAGCCAGTTGTGGTTTGGCCATCTGGTAAGGATGGGCACCTCCATATGGAGGTGCTTCAGGCATGTCTAACTGGGAGGAGACCCCAGGGAAGACCCAGGACACGCTGGAGAGACCATGTTTCTCAGTTGGTCTGAGAACACCTTGGAGTCCTCCCAGAAGAGCTGTGGAGAGAAATGTCTGGACCTCCCTGCTCAAGCTGCTGCTCCCACAACCTGACTTCAGAACAAGCAGAGGGTAGATGGATGGATGGATGGATGGATGGATGGATGGATGGATGGATGGATGGATGGATGGATGGATGGATGGG